TGACAGTTGGAGTCACAGCCTGGAGTCTCTCCTTTGGAAAACTGCTCAACATTTGTTTTAAGAAGGCATACTCTTCAGATTCAAATTAATCAGAATCTGACACCATATTTTTTTCTAGTTCGTCACCACCAAAATTATCATCAGTTCAGAAAAATGTGTGTCCTTTGAAATTATCAATAGTAATCAATGCTATTTTAGATTTTGGTCTGATTCTTTTAACTATTTTGCACAAACCTATTAGAAGTAAGGGCTATTAAACACAAATGCCATACAGAAGTAGTCTCATTATAAGCAAAAGTCATAACTGAGAGTGAGTCTGAATACAGAAGGGATTATCCCCATCTGTTCCTAAGTACTTTAACTGGTCAAATGTCAGATATTAAAAGGAAGAGAACTGACAGACCAGGAAGAAGCAGTAGCACCAGCAAAATGCTTAGACTAATAATTTATAAGAACATATGAAATTTTAGTTGCAAAACTGCTATTTTAAATGGATCAATTTGTAGTGGATTTTTTTTCTAAACATAGTATGTTTAGAAAAAATACGTATAGTATCTCAAAGAAAAATTAGAAAGCAAGAAATGTATTCTTGCATTTTACAAAGGGTCCTTGGATGCAGAAATTTCTCTCTACTCTATCCTTAAGTCCCCTCTGTAAATCACATTATTTCGACAACTCAGAGGCACAATTTTACTCATCTAGGTGATCAGAAGATTTTATATTAGGAACTGACAGGGATCAGTTTGGGGCACATCTCTGTGTGCCTCCGAGTCCCCCAGGGAATAGCAAAGCTAATCTCTAGTAGCCCAACAGTTAAAATAATTGATGAGTGTGTGTTGAATCCTCAAGAGATGAGGGAGGAATCAACAAGGAGGGGGGGAAGAAGAGGCTTGAACGGAAGAGAGTGGGGGGGGGCAGGTGCTGATTTCAGCCTCGTAGCGTCAGGATTGCGTCAATTCGGGTTTCAGCCACGTCTGGAGTCTAGGAGACGAGCTTCTCAGAAGAGCCAAAACAGGAACAGGGGTGGCAAATCACTGTGCGAGGGCGAGTGAACCTCCCCCTTTGCCTCCTCCCTGTTCCAGGCTCAGGTCCCCTGGGCTCTGCGCTGTTGTTTTCAGCACTCGAGAAAGCCGGCGCTTCAGATCCAGACAAGTGAATCAAGCCGGGGAGTTTTCCGTTCAGCACCTCGGACAGAGCACGCAGCAAAAAATGGCTCCGATCACTACCAGTCGGGAAGAATTCAGTAAGCAAGTTACTTAACTTATGGCTGAGGTTGTTTTTGACTTCTCCGGGATGGGCTGCCTGTTTTTTTTTTTCTACTGGATGCTGAATATAGATTTCCTAGGTAGTTGATTTGAAAATGAGTACAGTAAACAGGCAATCGTCGCTTATCTCTGCAGTTTCTCCCTTTCTTGGTATTTTTTCTCATTTAAATTGTCTTCTGATAGGGTGATTTTACGTTCAAGAAGTTCCTAAGTGTTCAGATAGCTCTGTAAATTGCAGCATACGCTGAGTAAATAAAAATGAGTATGTTGTTTGCATGTTGGTTTCATTTACTTTGTGGTGACTCTTATTTGTAGGTAAATCTGTATTTTATCAGGAGAAGCCAAATGTATCTGTGGTTACATAAGCTTTTAATCTCCGTATAAAACAACTTATATATTGGGGTCTGGGATGCATATTTTATTACAGAGTATACCATAGGGATGTTTTCTTCTGCTATGTGTATCTTGTATTCTTGAAATACGTTGCTAGTGAAAGACAGACTCCTACGACGGTGGAATTAAAGGGAGTTTCAAAATAAACTGGTTCAGCTCATTTCATTTCACTGCTGTGATAACTGAAATCCAGAGAGATGAGAGAATTGTTGCAGATTGCATAGTTAGCTAAAAGCTGACAGAAACTTGAATTAGGGCTCCTACTTTCTAGCTCAGTTTCTTTTTTCTTATACCAAATTTTTGGCACCATAGTTCTCTTTCTCTGTTTTAGTAAAAAAAAAAAAAAAAAGTGTAGTTTTTAGAATAAAAAAGTAGTATTTTTAGGTTCCATTATACTCAAAAGGCAAGAGATCACAAATCAGAATTTTACTTACTTTACAAGTATTTTTTTTTT